AATCTCGATTATGCATTTTTGAAGCTCTGAAAAACAAACAGAAGTGACTGAAATGGGGAGGAAAGACAAGAAGAGTTCTGCCATGAGGGCACTGCAATACCAAGGGAGAAGGCGGTAGTGCCTGTTGTCTGTCAGGCACATGATTCTGTGAACAACCCACATTGTTTAGTTTATTCACGGGGGAAACTTAGCATGCTATGCCAATTCACCCTCTGTCTAAACTACATCTGCAAGATACCAACCCATAATGGTTGGATTTCAGCTTTCAGTCAATCCACTACATTTCTGTCACAGCAGCACGTATGTTAGAAAACTTAGTGCACCATCCAATGTTGCTGCTTGCAGCCCACCAAATTCTGAGGATTATGGGTATCCATTTGAGTATGCGAAGGGCATGGATGCCAGGGTTTCAGCAGTCTTTTGTCCCTGCTCACAAGAGGAGAGGAGCCAACATTGAGATTCCTTGCATTCTGTCAAAACCTCGCTCCTTCTCTTCTCTTGGAATGCCGCCCAGCACCAGCTCTGAATTTCCACTTGCAAGTTTGGAGCTGCAGCTGGCTGTGAGGGGAGAGCATTCCAAGACTGGAAGCCACAGCTCCAACCTCAGAACATATTTCTATGGAGGTCTAAACAAAATCTGGCAACCACAGGATTGCACATTTTATTTGATTTGCAGCCTGATTCTAAGGAGCAAATCTGACCTATCTTATGATGGCAATATGCAGAATATACAAGGTAGATCTCCCACTCCTGCAAATTTCAGCCAACAGTGTAAAGCAGGGGCCGAGAATTTAGAACATGAATAGTCATTCCAACATATTAAGGGTAAGAACTTATTACAGGGAAACTTAGAGAAGGTGATTATTCTATCTAGCAGTTTTCAAGTGGTATTCCAGGCAACTGTGGGGTTCCTTGGAAAGTTTCCAGGAGAAAGTTTCCTAAATGAAGAAATTAGCAATGGCAAACAAGTGTGCCTGAAAGACACATCTTAGGAGCTCTAGCCCTTTCAGTGTTAGAGATAAAGAGAGATAATGACTGTTAAGCAGACTTAGAAGACTTCTTAGCAGTCTTTATCAGACTTCTTCAATCTGCTGCCTTCTTGATGTTTTGGACTACAACTCCCATGGTCTCAGGCTGCTGCAAGTCATGCTAACTGGAGCTGATGGGAGTGATTCCAATTGGGGGTGCCATTTGAACACTGGATCAAAAAATTGCAAAATATTAGTCTGCCAAAGTGCGCAATGAAGCTTTGCCTTATAGTAAACAGGAATAGGTGTACAAAGTATCTTAAAGGATTAACTCATGAGTTCACAATCATTTACACTTCATGCTAAACTGCAAAGTTACAGACAGAACAGGGCTTTGAAACCTAAAATTGAAGATGAGTCTAGAATCACTGAAAACCTAAATACTACTCCATCAAGAAAAATTTTTAAAGGTAATGTAGGTTTACTCAAATATATGATTTTGGAGAAGTTATTTTTCAAGAAGGACTGTGATGGAAATGTGTACTTGAGAAGGTGTTTTCAGCATTCAAAGCAATTTCAATAAGGTTTATCTTGTTACTGTTGCAGAGTTTCAATGACCATTTGACCATGAAGGTCAATCAGTGGCTAAAGCATGTTGAAAGGAGAGGAGCACCTGTATGATCATGGATTCCTAGGCTTATTAAGTTTGGTGTCAACAGAAAAAGTGAACATATAAATAAAGTAGATCATGGATCCTAGAAGTTTACTTGATTTGAACCTAGTTTCACAGTAGGAGGTACACACAATCTCTTTCATACATTAAGTGGAAGTGGGGAGGAGACCATTCAAGCTAACCCTATCCACCATAATTGTGTATTGCTGCAATAAACATACAGGAACCATCCCTCAAGAGGTGAGAGGGATGGCAAATAGAAGCCAGGCCTTTTCAGGTGCTGCTCCCTACCTTTGGAATTGTCTCCCTGGGGATGTCTGCCTGCCACCATCTTTATTATTGTTTTGGTGTCAGGTAAAAACATTTATTTTTAACAACTTTTTAAATAACTGATCCTGGTGTATTTAATTGTTTTTATGTATCTATATAGCCGTGTCCACCACTGCTCTGTTCTTGATTATTTCCTGCTAGCTCAGCTCCCATCAGCCTATACCTGAAGTTGGATTTCCCCCCAGCATACATTACTTTAAACTTGCTTACTTTAAATGCATTTGGCATTTTGATGTCCATTATTTCCAGCTTGAGAAGATCCCTTTGGAGCTCCTCACATTCCCTCTTGATTTTAACTACCCTAAATAGCTTGGTGTCATTAGCAAGTATGGCAAGTATTGCTCACTCCTAATTCTAGATCATTTATGAACAAATTGAAAAAGCATTGATCCTCATACAGCACCCTGTGTGACCCCACTAGCTACATCTCTTCTACTCCTGTGCATTTCAGTCCTAAGCAGCACCTCCAAGTTCACTGAGTTAGAGGGGACCTTGTAGATCAGGTAATCCAACCTCCTGCTCAGGTTGGGAAATCTAGAATTAGAACATCCCCAACAGCTAGCTGTCCATATGTGTGGGGACCTCTAGTATGGGAAAGTTCATCCCTGTGGTACGTGCATTTAGTCTTGCCATTAAGGCAATCAGGCTTAAATCACTCACACTGCAAACCTAAATATAAGTAAGATGCTCCAGACAAAGTAGGATTTGTTACTACTATTATTGCCATCATTACAATTACATCCCACCATGCACAGAATTGCACTACAGTAAATCACAAACACCTGCTTTCTCCCTAAAACTGATGCAGCAGAGAAATTCTTAGAAAACCTTGAGAACTGCTGCAGCATAGAGGTTAAGAGACCACACTGGAAGCCGAGAAATCCCCAGTTCAAATCATTCCTCTGACATGAACACACTAGGTAACTTGAGGCAAGCCACTGCTCTTTTCCTCAGCCTCATCTCTTCCATCCGCAATGCAGGAGATTACCACACTGACTTACCTTACAGGAGCTGCTGTAAGGACCAGAATTAAATCATGCATACGAAAAGCCATGAAGAAGCAGCTCAGAAATTAAGAGTGATGGCGATCACTAAAAGGGAAACCCCCGACCCGAGCCTTCTCCCCCTCACCAACCCCACCATGCATGAGACCGTCCACCCTCCTCCCTGGCCGTGCGGAGAGGCGCCGGAGAAAACGCGGGGAGCGAAGGAGAAAGCGAAGCACTCACTGGAGCAGATGAGGGACATGGCGAGCGCCTCCTCGGTACGATCCCCGCTGCTTCCGGTCCACGAGACCGAGAGGAAAGATTCTGCTTCCGGTAGCCCGCTCCAGTTCCTTTAAACGCGACGCTGCGGCGCGCGGGAGGCCTCGGCATTGGCCGGAAGCGGAATGTCTTCTCCTCTTCCTCCCGCCCCCTTCAGCAGGCGCTTCAAACGCTACCCGTCGCCGCAAGGCCTAACGGTCCGAGGGAGGGGTCGGCTGGAGTGATCACCTACATCCCCCGCCATACCTTTGGATGGGAGAATGATAGAATTATAAGTGTAGATGTAAAAAGTAGATGGACTCAGATCAGGGCCATACGACTGAGTTTTTTCCCCTCAGGTGCCAGTAAATTAAATAGCCAAAACGATGTTAGCTGTGGTTAGTAGTAGCGTGTGCATCCGAAAGTGAGCGGTAGCGACAAAAAAAGATCGAGCCTGCCCCTTTCTGTATAAGTTTTGCGGGGGTCGGGAATGCATTTGAAAAGGCAGCTTGTATACATGCAAGACAACGGCGCTTCTGCATGCAGCCAGGTGGTGGGTTTGAACTGAAAGAGGGCCTGAGGCGAGATTGTGGTGACCTGAATTGATGTATTTACTGGATCTATATCCCACCTTTTTTAAAGGAACTAAAAGTAGCTTACATCATTCTCCTATTCGCAATCTTATCCCAACAACAACAACCCTGTGAGGTAGGTTGGCTTGAGAGGCTGTCACTGCCCAAAGTCACCCAGTTGGTTCCCTGGAGGAGCGGGGGCTAGAACTCGGATCACCTGAGTCCCACTTCCGCGCCCTTAACTACTGCACTATATTGGCTCTCGAAGTGATGGATATTAATCTATTACGTTCAGATGTGTCATAAAGCATTTACTCTGCGCCATAGCCCTGCCCACCCTCCATCCTAAAGTATGGAGGTAATAATTGTTTTTGTATTAACTGAGTAAGTGTACAGATGTTCAGAAATGAACAAAGGATCCACTTTTCAAATGAAATGCGATCCCAGGTAGAAAGAGCGGGAGCTGCTTTCTCTGCTGCCCAGCCACAAGTGGGTACGCTGAAATCCTGGCTCCGTTGTTTACTATGGGAAGTTTTCTCCCACGTCCTCTTCAGGGAGGAAAAAGGTCTAAAAACTGTAGGCTCTAAGGCTGCAATCTCGTATACAGTTAAACCCAACGGGGCTTGCTTCTAAGCGGACATGAATAGATTGTACTGTAAAGAAACCCGGGGATATATATATTCGTAGACGCATCTAGCTCTAAGTTTTCAATCCAGCCATCAGACGTACTTTTAATTTCCATTTCCAACATGCGACATTGCGGCGGGAGACTTGTTTTAAAAATAGATATAAAAGTTCTGTGAGGCTTCCAAGTTCTGGGATTGCAAGTACACAGTTACGTTTCTGAGTGTTTCCCTTCCAGGCAAAAATGGCATGAAAATGTCATTGCTTTAAAAGCACCCCCCACACCCCCCCCGCAAAAAAAAAAGCCGCTTTCGCCCAAAGGGTAACTCCAAGGGCCATTATATCGACTTCCCCAACCTGCTGCCTTCCAGAAGTGTTGGGCTATAGCTCCCAGTGCAGGCTTAAGACTTATGCAGAGCATTGTAGCGAACGCTTAATCCCTCCCCCAATGTTTTCATTCCAAAGTCCATACATAGAGTGTAATACTTTTACTAGGTCAACTCAAAAGAGACCGCCCTCCCCCCAACCCCCCCCCTTGGATTTCTTCTAATGATTTTGGCCTAAGAAAGGTATTTTCGGAATTAAAAAGGGGCCCTCGTGCTCTCCTTGGACTGCGTTTTCCATAATGCATCCGGGCTAGGAACCGGATTTGTCGCTTGCTGAACGAATCAAGAGCTCGCGCTCCGTGGCCAGCGGGAGCTACTTAACTGCTTCCCTTCAGGCGAGAACGCCCCGCGTTCCTGGCGCCTGTTGCTCCCTCTCCGCCTTGGCGTCGGACCCGAGGCTGGTCGTGGGAAGCTTGATGCGGGTTGCCATCTGGTTTTGGTGAGTTGGAAGCAAGCGGCAGTGGCTCTTGCAGTTTGACGGTTTTTTCCCTTTGGCGGAAGGAGACCACCGACTGTTTCTATGACAGGTTGTTGGGAAAGATTCTTTTGTCCTAGGGTGCACGACTTGAAGCCCAGGGAGGGCTTTCAAAGAATGTGGGGGATCGAGTCATATTTTTAGCATCTCTATATTTTGCCCATATGGGGAGGGGGAAGGAAAGGGGTGGAGGGTGTGATTTTGTGCCAGGAACCCAACTAATTGCATTAGTTCAGAGGACGTCTTTGCTACTAAGAGAGGGTCTTGGGTTGACTTACGACTTTTTAGTGTACTATCTCTTGCTTTTCCTTCAGAGTTTGCTGCTAGAAAGAATGCCTCATAGTAGGGCAGTCAGGAGTAACTAACTTGGCTCCTGACCTCTTGCCTAGGTTAGCGTTTTTAAAGCTAAAGTTGTCCTTCGTGTTAGGGGCATGTGTGCTTCCCATACCTCTACAGTGACTGATTGCTTCTGCTTCAGGCCTTTTGGATCTTTTCCAAAATACCAGTCAGCACCTTGCACAGGTTGACGTATCACTTTGCATTTCTCTAAATAACCTGGAATTGTGCTGGATGTACAAGTTCTGCCTGATGGGTGGTGTATCTGCCTGCACTGTGCAATGTGATTTCATCTTCTTCCCATATTTTTTCTTTGGTGGTGGGTATTGTTCCAGCCAGAAGAGAGGATCACAGACATTTGTTTGACTGAAGCAGCCTTTCTTTTCCTGATATGCTCCAAATATGTGGGGCTACAACTCTCATCATTCCCATCCTTCATGGCAATCTGGAAAGTTTTGAATATATTCAACCTGCTTGTCATTTTTGACTGAGGTTAGCTGTAATACTAGCACACTTCAAGAGTCTCTTGTATTTTGTATTGTATTTCCAGTGAGGCTGGGAGTGAAGACAAGAACTAAGAAGATGACTGGATGGGACCTTATTTTATCGAGCAGCCGCAGGCCCCTGCTGCGACCAGCTTTGGCCATGATAATGTTGCTTTTTCTTGTGTCCATGGGCATAACTGAAGCTCAGCCCTACCGGACTGAGCCTCGGCGAGAGAAGCGTGTGCATCCTGACTTTCTATCCCAAGTGACTCGTGCTTTGAAGGAAACAGTGGAGGATTTTATTGGAAGTGAGAACTTTCAGCTATTAAGTGAGGTGAGAGAGAAGTTCTGTACCTAACTGTTTTTATGTATCTGTGGCAGACAGCTAGCAGTAGCATGCACTGAGCTTTGAAGGAAACAGTGGAGGATTTTATTGGAAGTGAGAACTTTCAGCTATTAAGTGAGGTGAGAGAGAAGTTCTGTACCTAACTGTTTTTTATGTATCTGTGGCAGACAGCTAGCAGTAGCATGCACTGAGCTATGCATTTAAGAAAAAAGAACATAGTACAGACTGCCTAGGACTGGGCCATTTCACAATGCAGGGGTGATGGAGAGCATGACTGACTGCTTTCCTACATAAAAGAACAACAAGAACATAACCAGACTGTGGAAAGCTAGATTGTCATGCTATTACCTTGTCTTCACTTTGACATGCTAGTTTTTGGAAGTGGGTGGGGGTCTTTTTACATGGGGGAAGCATTTCAATATATGCTTTTCTAAATTTCTTTCTAAACTGGCATGTATCCTAAAAGAGAACTGCCACATTATGTCTATAAATGAGCAGACTAGCTCTACAGAAACCCAGTTTTCCTCCCCTTGTGCCTGTCTTGCACCTCAGCTGTGTATAACTGGCTGCTCCTTTGCCCACCTCCTAGTGATCCCCTATGTGGAAGGTGCTCTTCTGTGGCAATAACACAACAGAGACTCTGCAAACTCACACTGTACTCAGAGTGTTTTGATCTGATGAACTGACTTCAGTACAGTGTTCCTATCCATATATGCATCTTTGGTTAAAGATCAATGATACCTTTCCAGTCCATGGAGATTTTAAAAATCAGTCTTTTAAATTAATATTTCACAAATTGATTTAGTGTCCACTGCAGTGTTTTATGTTTTAAAATGGACTTCAGTTAATGGAAATTACTGAAGCATAAAATGGCAAAAAACAATCCCATGTTTAGAAGCAGAAGTCCACTGCATTGTAGAAAAGCTGTCAAACATTTCTCAGCTTTGTCTTCCTCGGCAATTATTTCCATTTCAACGCTTCCATTCCTTATGTGCTATATATAAGGAAAATCCAGCACTGTGAGAGTGGAGGTCCCCCTTTTCTTTTCCCCTATACCCCATGGCACCCTCCTCAAAATCAACTCTAGGGGGTTGTGTTAAGCAAAGTTTGTAAGGTGGAGGACTGCAGAAGGGAGGAGGAATAGCTCCTCTCACTGTTCCATCAGCAGTTAAGGTTAATTAGGTATCCCCCTATATCCATAGGGGGTCACTCACAGCTTATTAATGCATAACAGTTTTCTACTTCCATGAAGCATATCAATTCTGCAACCTTCAAACTGTAAAATACAAGGTCAAATGCAAAGTTTCTGTTTCCTAAGAGACTATTCTCAGCAAGGATTGGAAACCTTAGAAGAAGTGACGCTTCCAATATGTCTTGCCCATCCCCTGTACATTGTTCAAATCTTTAAGTTTAGGATAATAGCTAGACCCCTGCACATCTCAATCACATAAAAGGATCTCCATATGATTGTGGGAAAAGCACTGCTGGTGTTGTCCTTGAAGTCAGATGGGTTTCCTGCCCCTGCTATGTTGAGAATAGACATCTGCAAGCCAGTATTCTATGCATGTAGAGTTTTATGAGTTTGAGAACACTGATCATGTAAGATCTCCAATTTTATGGAAGCCTGTGCATGCAGAGGCTTCCTTCTTGCAGCTTTATAAGTTCAAAGCTTGGATATTAGCAGGAGCAGAGGCAGCTTAATATGTGAAGTGAGATGCATGTGCCAGAAATTTCTTGCATCTTTCTCAATAAAGGTAAGCCATCATGGAGGAAAGCCTCATACTTTAAAAGTCTCCCAGTACTTCAGCTCTTCTTCTTTTTTTATCCATCAACTGATATTTTGGCAGTGACTTTCTGATCCTCAGGCCATGCAGTATACCATGTAGAAGCCCTCTTAGTTAATCTCCTTAACATAAGCTCCCACCACCTCTTTTTTGAACTGGAGTACAAGTATTTGATACTTTACAGTTTCCATTCAGGCTATAGGACCATAGTGCATCCACTTACTTCTTTACATTGAAGTCTTTGGTTGTTACTTAATCCCCACTTTCGTCAGTAGGTCAGAAAGCTCTACTTGCATATAGTTTGCTACTGGAGAAGATGGAAACTCTGGGAAGTTCACTGGGGTTCTGAGGGCTGGTAATGGCTAACAGAGACAGTGTGATGGCTAATACCTTCTGTGTCTGCCTATCTGCTCTCCTTGCAGAATCTTTCTTCTCTATTCTGGATAGTGGCCTCTGGAATCTCGTCAGCTTTATTTGTTGTGGCTCGAATTGCAGGGCAGTTCCTTACTTCCTTTGGAATGGCTGGTAAGTGTCCAGAATATGAGTTCAGGAAGAAAAAGGCAAAACCAAAAGTTGAGGTCATGTTCAACTCCTTTCACTCACTTGTTTCTGCAGTGCACACATATCATATGCCACAATTCTGTACATGTTTTCTCAACCTGTTTTATTCAGTAGGTCTCTCGATTGTTTTGCATGGCCTAATTCCGTTTTTAGGGTTACACCAAAATATGCGTGTATTATATTTATTTACGTTCTATCCATTCCCAGTACAGTGACTCAAGACAGCTAACAGCATCAAAAGTATGTGGCTATTAAACTGCATAGCTTAATGCAGTTATAAGAAATGGGTGTATGCTCAAGGGGTATTAGCAGCAGCTCCCTGTTAAGTGTATGATTCATTGGTAAAAGCTGCCATGCTGCTGCAATGTATATGAAACAGCCTTCAGTGTGCACATGGATGTGAAGTCCCTTAGACCAGCAAGAGTGGATTTGCTTGGCAAAAATTGCCTTTGAGGCTGGCACTTGATGAAGTGAGTATCTTGTTTTTTAAAATGAAGATGTCTATTCCTATGATCTCCCTACTCAGTAGCAGCAGAAGTCTGCCCTGATCTGTTTAGGAGAGGAGTTTTCTTCCAGCACTTGGTAACACATTGTTCCTCACAAGCTGTCATAGTCATGGCATGGTGCAACACAAGGATGGGAAATCTGTGGCCCTCAGATGTATTGGCCTGTAACTTCCATTAGCTATAGCCAATGATGCAGGATCATAGGAGTTGTGACCCTTCAAATGTTTTGACCTACAAATTCCACCCCCCTCCCCATGTAGACCTACACTGTGCTGAGTACTCATGATGTGTTACTTTCCTCCTTCATGTTTCAGGGGATCAATTAACGCAGTTCCTGAAGCTGAGCCCTGATGAGGTGCAGGTGCTGCTCCTGTGGGGCCTGGCTGCTCTGATTGGCTACTGGGTGCTGTCATTCTTGCTGAGTCTGTTGCTTGCCCTGTTGAGCCGCATCATGTGGGGAATCAAGGTGGTTCTTTTTGGGGCCTGCTTCATTTATCTCGTCACCATGGTACCTGACCGCTCTGTGCAAATGTTGCTTCTGTTTGCCCTGCTGACACTGCATGTCCTGCTGAGTTGGCTGAGCGGGTCACGCCACTCAGGGTCACAGCTGGAAGCCAAAGTACGCAACTTGCAGCGCCAGGTGGAGGAGCTGCAGCGCAAGCAGAAGCGGTCTCCTAAACACCTGGATGAAGAATGAGGTCAAAGGAAGCCTGTAAGGTCAACATACCATTCCTAAGTGGCAGCCACCTCCTCCTTTCCTAGACTGTACATGTGTTTGGATATCTGTTCACACACAGCTATGCAAGAACCCGTCAATCCTAAAGAGAACTTCTGTACTGGAGAGGGAATGCATCTGAGACAGTAAAACTTACCAGCTGATATCCAGTAACCCGTTCAAAAGTATCTTCTCCCACCCTTGTCCTCAGTCATGTATGTTTTTCACGACCCTATTCTTGTAGAAGAGAAAATGGTAGGCTTAGAGCATCCTTCCCCAACCCTGTGCCCTTTAGATGTGTTGGATTGCAACTCCCATAGTCCCCAGACAGCATTGCCAGTTGGGCTATGAGAGCTGAGTCCAGCACATCTGAAAGACATTAAATTGGGAAGGCTGTTCTAGACCTACCACCTTCAAGCTCTATTTAACACCTGGCTCATGGTTGGCCATTTTGTTTCTTTAAGGGTGGCAGACTTGGAGGTAGATCTGCTAATCCTTTTTAAATTAAGTAAACTGTTTAGCACTGCAATCTGAGGATAAAAGTATGGAGTGTTGCATGTTTCACCTTGAGGATCTTTGCTATGGATGTTGCATCAGTGTCTGTGTGTACTTGGCAGTAAAGCCAGGTGCCTCTGTGAAAAGCACAGCTGGTTGCTCCCTTTGCAGTTGCAGCATCAAACCAGTATGTTATGTGTATGTTTGGGATCATGGTATTGAGCTCCCACCTCCTTGCAAACCAAAGATGCCCATTAAAAGCAAGCCTGCACAGTTTCCTTTTGCACACTGCGCTACATGAGGGGTGCATTGCGCTTCATAATACAATGACAACTACAGTTCACCTGTCTGTTCTGGATGGAAATAAGCCATAGGTGAGGGACGAAGTGAATGTACACAGCTCTTCCTTCCTGACAGAATGTTGTACCACCAAGAAGTGGAATGACAAACACAGATATGCTTTTTCTCCTGCCTGTTTGGGGAAGGAGGCATGACTTCGTGGTGTTAGCCACATATTGGTTGCCAATGTATTTTTTTAAGCTACCAGTTTTAAGCCAAATATTTTGTTACTCTTCCAAATAAAGCTTATTTGATCATTTTCTCTATGCTGTGGTTGTTTCTTTCATACTTTTTAATGAGGTGGTACACATGTTAGTGAGCTGGGTGCAAGGAACATGGGTAAGCCAACATAAGTCTGTCTTAGCAGGGCCCTCTGAAGCGGGGAGGGCCAACTTGTGACCTCCTGGATGTGGTGGCCTACAGTGCCCATTATCCTTTCCGTAGACTGTGTGTTTTGCCAAGGGCAAAAGGTTCTTTTTGGATCCAGAAGCGATGTGCACACAGGTGGATTAAAGTCTAAAGATTTTATTCTAAAACAGGCACTACAATGTAAACAGACATAATATGGAGAAGGAAATACAATACCAAGTAAGCTGGCTTTCCTCTATCAGCTGTCGGGAGCCCCCCCCCCAACCCTCAAGAACAACAAGGGAAAAGCCCTAATTCTTGGCCTTCACCTTCCTTGCTCAGCTAGATGTCACACTGGAACTCACTCAGGTGGGGTTGCGAGGCTTCTCTTTCTACCCTAAATCTAAGAGTGTAACTTGCGGTAGAAAACTACGTCAAAACAGTTAATTAGCCACATCTGCTGTTCCTGACTCACGATGATAAGCTCCACTGTTTACTTTTCTGCATTCCAATGCTGTACCAACCTAATTCGCTAGTGGCTTCCCCTGCATGCTGGAGGGCCCTAACTGAGTCTCCAAAGGTGAGGCCCCGTCAAGGTAGGAAAAGAAGGGCAATTGTATTACACCACCTATCTCCTTGGTATATAATAGTCTTCTGGCAATTTTGCTTTACACTGTTCCCTAAGGCTGATGGGAGATGTAGGCCAAAGCATCTGGAGGGCCGTGAATTGCCCATCCCTGCTGCCTGAAGAATAGGGAGAGGCACAATGCAGAACTGTTGCATCTATATTGGCTGGCTTGCACACATGTTGGCTGCACTCAATAAACCTTCCAAGTGAACAGGTTTGCCATCATATCCTGACATAGACAGGTGTGTGTTTTTGCCAAGGGACAGCTCACCTGACTAATGTATCCTGAAGGATCATGGGCTGCCTGTGGTGACAGCATCTCATAACTGGTTTACTGTGTCCCCTTTCCCTTGCTAGCTGAAGGCGTTGATATGCAGCTGTTAAAATGCACACAAATACTGGTAACATACATTATGGTGAAGTAAGAATATGTCCGTTTTGCAACATGTTTACTTGGTCCACCTGCCCTCTGCCTATGTTCCAGTATTTTTTAAGCCATGTTATTTGGTCATGAGAAAGATATTAAACAGGGAGGAGTTGCAGGAAGGATTCCCCTGGCCTCACAGTGTTTTTACATGACTAATGGCAATGCTTTGGTGAGGAAGGGATGGAGGCAGGAAGACACTCAGGGTAGCTCATACCCGGGCCTCTCCATCTCCCCCTTCCTGCTGGAACATTCTCTCCCTGCTTTCCGAGGCCAATTTTCTAATCTCGGAGAGGCAGCCACCATGGCTCTTTTCCATGCCAGCTGCAAAGGTTTGGGGAGAGGGGCTGGATCTCTGACTTCACCATCTGGGGTTGGAACACTGACTTTGGAGGTGGAAGTGGCCATTATCCAATGGGCCTTCGGGCAATATCTAAGCACTATCGAGGAGCTCCTTCCCATTGGAATGTTCCCCACTGGTGGAGGCCTGGTGGAAGGTGGAAGTTCCTTGTTCGCTCCCCCCTCCCCCCGAAGCAGCTGCCTCACTCTGCCTAATGGTAGGGCTGGGCTTGCATCCTCCCACCAAACAGCCTGTTACCATAGTGTTCAAAGGAGCAGGGGAAATGCCCCTACCTGGGAATGAGAGCCAGTGTGGCAGAGTGGCTAGAAACTTGGACTGGGGGCCAAGGAGAGCCAGGCTCTGCTCCCCACCACTGCCATAAAGCTAACTGGGAGGCTTTGGCCCACTCACAGACTCAGCCCAAGCTATGCACAGGGTTGTTACAAGGAGAAGATTGAGAGGAGGAGAATTATGTAAGCTGCCTTGAACTCTCAGAAAGGAAAAAGTGGGTATAAATATGATAGAGAAATAAAGTGTAAGATATAAAAAAATATATCCAATAGAATCCAAGCAATGACAATACGGGAGGCAAAGTACCAAGCAGAAAGGTTTAATTCGTTCTTGCAAGAGCAGGCACCCACCACATAGGTAGCGCGCCGTTCACACACACAACATTTTAATATTTTTAGTGTATACATTTTGATATGATTTTGTTTGTTTTTGTTTTTGTTGTGAGCCGCCCCGAGGCTTTGTTGCGATGGGGGCGGCATAGAAATGTTTTAAATAAATAAATAAACATTCACCTTTATCCCTTTCCCCGGCTCGCAGGCCCTACCTCTTTTCTCCCATTGGCTGGGCTACTCAGAGGGCACAATCTTCTCCGTCCGCCTACTACATCCTACCCCTTGATATGACCCCCCCTTGCACATACAACCCATGTTCATGCTAATGAGCCTATTACCTATGAGAGGTGTGTCATTTACTATTCATAAGCCTATTAAGCTTGCGCACTAGGCCTAAAAGTTCAAAAAGTCAAAATGGCCTTGAGAATGCTTCTTGGATGCCAATTTGCTCCTTAAATCAAAATAGGGAGGATGAGATAATGAGGACAGGCCTCTCTTCAGACTCTTTACCTCCCATTATAAAGTAATCCATTGCCTGCTTTCCTCCACTGAAGGTGACAGTTTTACCACTGCCCCCCCCCCACACACACACTTTTACCCTCTCTGGTATTTTTCTGGACTTTTGCTGTAAGAAACATTATTACTCTAAGAACAACCATTTACATGTTTTGATTCTCAGGCTTTTTGGCCTTAAGAGACTTCAATGATTCTGTCCTATTCCTGTTTTTCACCCTTAATACTTAGTAACAGTAACATTTCATTTCTCACAAAAGGCAGAAGGCCCAGGGCCCAGAGAGGCAGTGTAAGCAATGGAGCTCAGCACTGATATGCTTGTCTCATTCTGGGGCTGTGAACACCAGAGCCCCCTGCCCTATTGCTCTTCCTCATCCTCACTGCCTGTCCCCCTGTGTGTTCGGAAAGACCAAGCACTGATCATGAGTGGGAAGAAGGAGCAGCAGCCATTTGTCACTCGCTCTCCCTGCAGCTGAGTGGATGGTGCCCAGAGGAAGAGGGCAAGTGAATGCACAAGGGTGGCCATGGGGATGCCCTCCACCTGCAGTGGGCTATGACACCCATCATCCCCAGACAGCAACTTGCATGAACTACAATACGGGTTCAGACAGGCAGTGCACCACTTAAGCCACTTGGACCACTAAGCCTTGGCTGGATTGTGCTGAGTTTTTGCAAGAGATGGATGTGGAGCTGTGCAAGGCACCCTGCAACATTGAAATGGATGCCTAGTTCACATTTTAAGATATGTATTTCTAAAGGCTACCACATTTCTTGCCATCCTGCTTGGGGTTTATGCTTGTGGGATACAAACAGCTCCAAATACAGAAGAGCGGTGTCCTTTAATTCAACACAGGCGGCAGTGTGGTTTTGTTCTTTGTCTGGCTTCAAGAAAAAAAGCTTGGCTGGAGGGCAGCGTAATTGGCAGCTTTTGCCATTCTCTGGGGTCAGGAAGAAAGATTCAGCAGAATGAGCCTGTTTCACATCCACAAAATGCAACCGTGAATTTGGTCTAAGCATCAGACAATAAATTTCCTGGTCCAGAAATGGAGCACTATCCTCTTGGTGATGCCTTATTCCAAGGAGCTAATGAGGGGATTAGTTCTAGCAATTCACACAATTCCTGGGTAAGCTTAATATGATAAGAGTTTTGAACAGTTTCATTTCTCATGCCAATGCCCCTCATTGTTACGTAAGAACTTTTCATCCTAGCCTCTTTGCATTTCATAAATATAATTTTGGTTTACTGCCAGCTTAGGAAAACCATTTTTAGCTGTGGCAAAACACAAACTGAGGTTTATGCTACAGCAGCTCCAGCAGCACTCCTATGCCTGTGGGATGGGGGAAAGCAATCCAGAGCTCTCTTCCACACCAATTCAGATCGAAATCCTTCTACCACCCTGCTTTTGCAGTTGCGCCAGCAAACAGCTGTGGGGCAATTGGACCCTTTGAAACTGAATCTGCCCCTCAAGCAGTCCAAACAGGAGTAACTTCAGGTGCTGCTTTCCCCTTACTGATCAAAGCTACCAGCCTCAGTCTGCTCAGCTTTTGAGGAGAAGACTGTTTCTACTAGCAATCTTTGCCTTGGTTCACAAGTAACAAGAAGCCACTGTAAATGAATTTCCCCATGTGGTTTTTCACTGTGGTGGCAGCAGCCATTCTGAATATCCAGGGGTGCAGCACAGCTTGTCCTTATGTGCAAACCCAGAAAGCATGGGGTGTTAGGGTGGTTAACCGGCCACTTGTAACCATAAAAGAATCCAGCCCAACCAGTCACCCTCGCTGGGTTTGCACATAACAAACTGTAGCAGCAGGTGCTTAGATCATCAACTGGATCTGGATAGGTTGCTGTCCCATCCAAACCCAGCATGTTTTCTGTAGCATGGGTTATTTTTCATGAACAAGCCACCCTAGGAATCCATGGCTTGTTTTAGGGTTGTTGATACTCATGGTACCTTGTGTTGTCTAGCCCCAGCAGGGCAACTTCATTGTGTGTTATTGGGAATAGCTACAGAGCCTTTCAGCAAGAATTTGGGGGTGGGGGCGGGGAATCATGATCTTTTATAATCTTGTCAGTGACCACCCTTCCACAGATGCCTAAGCAGCACTTTGGAAGGACTGTTACTTGTTCTCCATCTTTTTAAAATATTATTTTGGTGCCTTAAAAATGTACAATTAGGACCTCTATCCATCTCTGCTATCCAGTATGAGTACTGACAAGACAAGGTTGCCTATCAACTAATTTGTGCATGGTTGTGAAGGACCAAGGAAGAAAAGAGTAAGAGAAAGAAGAGAGTCAGAATACAAGTCAGAAACTCCAAAAAATGAGAGTAGGAGCCAAAGAAGCAAGTGTCCCAAAAGTGGTGGGGACAATATTTCTATCTTGGTGTTGA